TTGAGACCCACACTCTTTGGTAACACAACATGTCGGTGGTGGTGTGGCTTCAGACCCAGCCCCTACAGCCACTGCAGCAGAGCAGGAGCACACTGCAGCAAAGCCTGTCCCCTGCTAAAGGAAGCACCCTGGTGGCATTAGACAGCAGCACTGAAGCCGTGGTTGGAAAGGCTGGAAGGAGAGCTTAAAAGGCATTATTTGTCCCACCTGCTAATCAGCAGGTGCTGTTTTACTGGCATCAATGCTACCTATCTTTCTTAACCTTACACTTCATAAATCTTTTCCTGCAGTTCTCACCCCGTGGGCGTCCATCAGTTATTAAACAACTCTGCAGCCTCTTGAGTGAAGAGACAACAAAGAGGGCCAGCTGGATTTCTAATGTGCATTTTAGGGGGAGCAGAAAGGAAGTGGGGTGCATTTGTTTGACAATAGATGAACAGCATCTTCCCCAGCCATAATACTGTGTATTAGCCTGGAAGGCCTGGCCTTGGCCATAGGTTCAGATTTGCTCTCACCATCCTAATGAATGTCCCTGCAGCTGCTCACCCTGACAGCCCTCTCTGAAACCTCCCTCCTTGGTGTGGAGTGAGGCATGACACACAGAGGGCTCAAAGAAGTACCGCTTGGCTGGTTGGTGTCATCAACTGGTTCTGCACAAGCAAGGTGCTAGGCACTATTTGGGAAGCTTCCATTGCATTGAAAGATAGATAAGTAGGTGGTGATGTGTCTTGGAGATCAGGTAATCCAGAGCTTCTCACATACTTCTCTCTCTCTCTCTCTTTTTCTCTAGTTCAGAAAAGCTGGAGAGCTTTTAAGCACCTGACAAGTATATTGAAGAGTAGGAAACACCAAATAGCCCAAACTAATTCTCCAGCCTTGCAGCAGTGAGGACTGGCCCTCTTCTGGGTTGCATTAGCACCATGAAGGGCCAGGAAGAGCAGCTGGTAGCATTCTTGCCTCTCTCTTTCTAGTATATGAGGAAAGTCCACTGCTAAGTGCAATGCTGAGCCTGACTCTCAGCCCATGGAAAACTGCAATGTTTGAATGATGTATGGAAAAAACAAAACCATCTGACTGCAGAGATCCTCCTAATTATTGCCTCTGTCATACTGACAAGCACCCAGCTCTGACCTTCCCAGAGGGTGAGGCGTGCTGTCCTGCTTTCCTTGTGGAAGCAGCCAGCAGCCCTGCGAGCCCCGCTCGCTTCGAAGAGATCTGCACCAGAAATGAGGACACAGCCACCCTGACAGACCAAGGCATTGCTTGCACCTTTGGCACCCGGGCCAGGCTCAGAGCAGGAGTGACACACTACACAGAGAAAACTTCTGCACCACCATTCAAGCCAGGGTCTGGCAAGTGAGATCAAGACTCTGGGCTTGGTGAAGAGAAGGCTACAGATAACAGGCCTGCTTGTGTCAGGAAGGCCTTGAGAAAAAGGAACAGAGCCAATCAGACTCACCAGTCAATGGAGAAGAAGTAATGGGATTAAGCTACAGCAGGGAGAACTCAGATATAAGGGAGAAGGCTATCCTGAGAGGAGCAGATTGGGCCATCGAATTCCTGCCAAAGGAATTGTCATCACCAGCGTGGATACAGCAGAGAGCAGACACAAGCCTCAAGAAGAGCAGGCACCTGACTGCAGCACAGCCCAGAGCTGGGGTGGGGCATGTGTATGTGCCAGGAGATGGGACCACTCCACCACGGAGAGGCCATGTCCCAGAACAGGGACAGGCCATCTCTGGGATCTGTGCTCATAACCTGAGCCATAAGGAGAATTACAGCAGCTGCCCTTGGCCCAGGGCACTGTGTTCTCTCACCAACACTTAGGAGGAAACCCTCTTTGCTGGTAGTGTCCCATGCCAGTAGTGTCCCATGCCAGGAGACAGAAGGGAGAGCCCAGTTTTCTGTTCTGAACTTTCCTGCCTGACTAGACATGCCAGGACCAGCCCTAGTTTCAGTTTCTCCTCTTCAGCTCCACCACTTCTCTGTCAAGCCACCAGGCAGCTCCTGTCCCTGCTGCCCAAGTCCTGCCATGTTCAAGTGCACTATCCCCCTTTCCTGAACCTGAGTCATGTCTCCACCCTTGAGAAAATGGAATGGGATGGACCAGGGGGGCAGTTCTACCAGGTGCACTTGGGTAGCACCAAGAATATGAGGGATGGGATCTCTGAGAAATCCTGGCATGCAGTGGGGAATACTGACTAGAGAGGTCCCACTTCTCAGGGTGCTGTGGGTCTGACAGACAGTAGCACTGGGACCTGGCTGCAGCTGGCACCACCCGGGTACATGGGGAAGGTGTTCAGCAACAGGGAGACTGTACGGATCCTGTGGGCCAGAACAGCAGCCGTGCCTCGAAGATCCACCTGGATAGACCACCTCCAGAATAAGATTTCACATGTGAAAATGGGGCCAGAGGAACAAGGCCAGGCATTCTCATGGAAAGCCCCAGAAAGAGCCAAGGACATGGTGCCTGAAACTCTGCTGCAGGTGCTAAAAGCTGGGGGGCACAGAGACCCTGCTAATCTGTCCCTGTTGTGAAGACTGTCTTTGCCCCAGGGAGCTAAAAGGCCTGCCAAAACTTAGATAAATCCATCTGTCCAAGGCACCTTGGAGGCTGGAGATAGAAAGATGAGCCATTACAGCCTAATTTAAGCAACAGTGCAGATTTCAAAGAGAACATGTCAGGAAGGACAAGCGGGGACCTCATTCCTCACTAATGACCCATTGCAGCTCCACTGTCTCAATTCACTGGGACATACAAGCACACACCATTATCTCCCTGGAGTCAGAGAACATCCACATCGGCCTTGGCTTACTTTAGGCCCTTGTAGAGAGAAGCATGAGTGCACAGCAAGCCGAATGTCATCGCTAAGCAAGGAAATCCCAGGGCTGCTTTTGCCCAGTCTGAATCTATGCCAAAAATAATGAGAACAAAATGCAGAGAGGGATGTGCCTCCTCTGGAGACCTTATGCTTCTCTGTCCTCCAAGGGACCCTCTTCTTTAAACCAACATCTAGCTCTGGTAGTGAAAGTAAGGGCAGATGCTAAGACAGAATCATCAACAGAGTGAGATTTTAAGAGACTTCTCATTCAAACCACTGTTGTTTGCAGTTTAGCACCCGAGATCCAGAAGGACAAGCTGACTTGAAGGGCAAGAGACACTAACCAGGATATGCAGGGCATAAAGAGCAGAACAGACTGCTCTGGGGGAAATTAAATGGGGAGCCCTACAACGCCCACAGGTTCTGACCACTCCAGGCTTGCCAGCAGGAGATGGCTTTCAAAATAGGACCAGTGTGGTACATTGGTGCACTTGCAGCCTCCTCGAGACCCGGGAGGCAAAGCAGTACAGCAGCACGATGAGAGAGCCTGACCCCTCGTTAACAGCTGCCAGGAGGAAGATGGTTGGAATAAATACAGGGCCTCACTGTTTGTCCTTCTGCGACCCATGGGGAGGCAGACACCAAGCACAAATGCCCAGGTGCCAATGGACTTGCCCCTGTCACCCAAGATGTGCTGCTCTTAGCTTTTGTTTGCCACAGCTGATGAGGGAAGCGGGGTGAAGCTGAGGAGCAGTGCTGTCTGGAGAAATCGCTGGCTGATTTGGCATGCACTCCCCAAAGAGCTGACTGAAAAGGAGACAGCTTTTCTGAGAACAAGGACACAAGAGATCCGGGGATGTGTTGCTGGAGGAGGAAAAGCTGGGTGTCTGCATGCTGCAAACACTGTTGCAGCTTCAGTGACACGAAGGCTCTTTGCCCAGTGTTGCTGAGATCCTTTCCAGCAGGGTAGAAGGGGCAGCACAAAGCTCAGACCAAACCTGTCCTAACAAGAGCAAGGCAGAAGAACCCAGTAGCTAATGAGCTACACAGAAGTCACCTCACTTCTGACAGCCTGACACCTCCCTGCAAAAACCTCTGTTGTGCAAAACATTTGGTTTTAATCAGGGTTTCCTCTAACATATCCCCAGCCTGTGTTCTGCAGAGCATCCCTCTTGGCAGATGCCTCCTGCACAGGTCCTGCACCAACAGTGGGGTCACACAGAAACAGAATTCTTTTGATCCTCCTTTCCCCAGACAAAGTTCCCAATGCTCCAGCATAGTTCTGCATTTGTCCTTCCTATCCCCTCAGAGCTCTCTGTCAAAATGAGGCTTCCAGGAGCCTGCAGCTCAGAGTTCACAGCCAGAGCCCAGCTGGATCTTATGCAAAATTCACTTGTGCAGACATGCACCAACCTGCTGCTCCATTATCAATAGGTGAACTGCAGCTGAACCTACCAGAGACTTCCTTGATGCTTGGCTGAACCAATTAGGACTTACTTCAAAGCCAGGAAGGGTCCCCAGCCCCTTGATGTGCCACCTGATACCACGATGTCTGTTCCAGTGCCATCCTCTTCCCCTTCCCCAGCTCACCAGGGGCCTCCTGTTTTCTCTTTCCAGCTGAGCCCTCCTCCAGCAAACACATCAGTAGCGCTGCAGATCTCTGCTCCATCTGGATTTGCACATTCATCCCTTCCCTGGTGCTGCATGCCCAAACAGAAAACCCTTTACCAAGGGGATGCTGACTCACAGCTGGCACACCGAAACTTCCGAAGGAGCTGAGCATGGGATCCTCTGGAGGCAATGCCATTCCCAGCAGTGAGAAAAAAGTAACAGTCGGAGCATGGTCTAAAAAAAATAGTGGGGAGGGAGGGGAATGGTCAGGGGGAAGGGGAAGAGGCGGATTCGTGGCTTTCAGCCTTTGCTCTAACCTGCCATTTAGCTCCACGTGCCTGGGTGCCCATGACCTTCTGTCACAGGCAGCAACACCCTGCTCCAAGGGGCCTGTTCTCCTCCACCCTGCGAGGGGTCTCGCTCCAGTGTGGGAAGCAGGGTGGGCAGAGGTGCAGCAGGGTGCTTTTTGGTGGCTGCTGGTTCCTTGGAGCACGAGACAGCCTGGAGCCAGGGCTGGGAGCCAAAGCCACCCCCTCCCTGCATCAGGCCTGCCGTTTTATTCCCCCCTTTGGGTCTTGACACCATGAATTATGGTTTTGCTGTTGGTTTGGTTGTTTGTTTTTTTTTGCATGTGGTGATCGGTCTAGAGTTCTGTGCCACGTCAGGGGGAGCACCAGCATCCACCCCTCTGGGAGGTCAGAGCCACAGCGGGGGAAGCCTTTGTTGGCTGCCGGAGGAGGATGCCACGTCCACTCCATCCTGATGTCCTCCTAGGCCATCCCCCTTGTGCTCCTCTCCCCAAATCCTGCTCTGGCTGGGGCCAGGCAACAGACAATGAGATCTCACCGCCTTCTGCTTTCACAGTGAGGTCTCCACGCAGGACCCATTGCGATGGAGGTGACGGTGGTCGTGGTTCAGGCAGCCTTCGTTGCGGTGTACAATGAGGACAGGGAAGTAGAGGGCATCCTGATAAGGAGGGGGGTCTTCCTCCTCCACAGTCACCTGGCTGGAGAGGCGTGTCTGCTCAGTGGGGCAGCTCTGCTCGTTCAGGCTGCCACTCCGGCTGCGCCAGAGGCAGCTGCGGCGCGAGCCGTACAAGCGGCCCAGGGAGAAGCGGCTGCTGCTGAAGGGAATCCTGGGACTGCCGTTGCAGATGCTCAGAGCACTGCGGGAGAAGATGGAGGAGCTGCTTATAGTCCTGTGGCAGCGCTCGCAGTTCTGCCGGTAGCCCCCGTAGCGGCAAGCGGAGTAGCTGGTGCAGCCGGAGAGCCCCACCAAGTCCATCAGGACCGCTTCCGAGTAGCTGGGCACCAGCTGCTGGTTGGAGCGTATGTGCCACTCCAGCTCGGTGCTGTCCACCGTGTTGACACGGGGCATCCTCCGGCAGAAGGAGCGCTCCTCGGCCGGCGTCACGGCCACGTAATCGAACCCAAAGAGTTTTTCCACGTGGTAATGGACATAGGAGGTGCGGTACTCATTTAGCACCCGCAGGGGCCAGGAGAGGGTCAGCAGAGCTGCCACCCAGAAGACATAGTGAGATACATACCAAGGCAGGTTGTCTGGGTCAGAAAAGGCCACCATGTATTCCTTGAAGTCCACATTTTTGAGGTGCATCCCCTCCCTGGCCTCCATGTAATCGTCTAGGCCCTCGTTCTCCGTGAAGAAGCGGGCCCGCTGGGTCAGATAGGAGTTCTCAGACTCCACGTTGGCAAAGCTGAAACACTTGGTGAAGCGGAGCCGTGTGGCCGGGTAGCTCTCCAGGTCAATGAGGTCCTTGGAGATGTCCTTAACTCCACAGTTGGAATAATCAAACTCGGCCTCTGCCACGTGGGTGTTGACCCGCTCGTGGTACACTTGGGTGGTGGTGTAGGCGTCCCCGTTGCGGTAGCGGGTGACCTGCCGGGTCCTGCGGACGTAGTGGTAGCTGATGGCCTTCCACCAGATGCAGGGGGTGGCCTGCTGCATCCGCTGCACACGCTCGTGCACGCTCTCCACGTCCACCTTGTACTGCAGCTCGTTGCGCGTGTAGCAGTGCCAGCACTCCACCAGGTACACCACGTAGAGCATCACCAGGAAAGCCAAGGGGATGTAGACGTAGCCGTTGGAACAGGGGCTGTCATGGTACATCATGGACTTGCCCTTGTAAGCGCTGTCAAAGGTCAGCCGGGTCACCTTGGTGACGTGGCACCAGGTCATGGCTCCCATGCAGCCATACATGAGGAGGGACAGCAGCAGGCATTTCCAGTGCGACTCTCGGCACAGGGACTTGCTGAGAGACTGCTTCACTGGCCGCTGCTGCTCCGGGGGACCGGGGAGAAGGAGAGAGAAAACAAGAGAGGAGTCAGTGGGCTGCAGCGGCAGGGGAAGGGGCGCAGGCAGCAGGGTGCTGTGGCAGCACCTATAGCTCTGCAAACACAGACCAAACAGCAGAGGCCACGGGGCTCCTGGCCTCAGCGGGCAGCGCAGAGGCTGGGATCTCTCACAGGATGACACTCATGCAGTGCAGGCAACTAGCACCCCCACCTCCATGTCTGGTGCTCTGCCCCTCCTTGGGGGACAGACAGAGCCCAGCTGGACATGGTGGAGAGTGGTAAAGGACAACTCTGTCAGCTGCACTGAGCACCTCCCTTCTCCAACAGGGAGTAACCCCTACCATTGCCACTTCCCAGGGAGAGCTATTGGAAGATCAGGTGAGAGTCTGGGCGATCTCCTCCACATGCCTCAGCTTTTGCACCCACCCCACCAGCACAGGCAGCTCTAGCTGATGTCATCCCACCTGAACCCCTCACCACAGCCCATCCCACTGCACACGAGTCTCTCCTCCGCTTCCCAGTAACGACAAATAGCAACATTCCAATTCCTCCAGCAGGGCGGCACAAGCTGCCTGGTGTGCCTGTAAGATGGAGAAACAGACCTTCTGCAGCTGGGAAGGTCTGTGATTGGTAATGACAATTCCCACTACAACACTTGGCAGCCTAAGGAGATCTGAAGTGCTTCTCAAGTGCTTTATAAACCATACCAATGAGAAAGTACTTTTCCACTATTGAAATGGAGCCACCTCTGGTAGGAGAGAAAGCAAATATGGAGTAACATCCTAAAAAGTACTCAGGCTGGAAGGGAGGAGCATCCTAACAATCTGCAGCAGCAAGGAGGGCAAGAGGCCACTCACAGCTGCTGGCAAATGTGCCTGCTTGCACTGGGATTCAGATGTGACAGTCCACACTTCTGAAAAACACTGCTCTTAGGTCTTTCATGGTGAGGAAAAGGCAGAAATTAGCAACGCGACTTTTTAAAGGGATTGCACTGGTGCCTTTACCACAGTACAGTGCAGGGTTTCACACAAACCCATGAAAAAAACTTGGTTAAGGAAACCTCTGTCACTCTGCAACACTCTGAAGTCTCAAGTATTGATCCATTGTCTGTGAGATCTGACATCACCCTACCCAAAGAAAGAACAGACAAAGTAACTATTTCCTTTCTTATACAGAATATTTTATCCAGCAATCTCCAAAGGGGCAACCTGAGAGAGGGGGTCAAGAACCCCAGCCTTGTGCAGATGCCACCAAATTCACTCAGAGGCTTCAAGCTTTGCTCTCCCTCTGCACCTGCAGGCAGCAGCAGCTCCTGAGCTCAGCTCCTCCATGGCAGGGGCCAACTCCAGCTGTAACGACACTGCTCATGGCACTGCAGTCCAAGCCTGGCTCCATTACTCTCCACTCCTGAACATGCTGGGCTGGAGAGGTCTCTCATCCAGGAATCCCAAACAACTGAGTGGGCTCACACTGCTAGAAAGCAGGAGGGGCACTTTCACTCTGGCATGAAAAGGAAAATTAAAGCAAGAACCAGAAATCACAAGGCCACTGGCAGGCCTAGGGACAGCCCTGGGCTTCATCTTTCCTTTAAGAAATGCTCTTCTGAAGAGCCCCTCATTCCTGGCTTGGTGCTCTGGAGTCCCACAGGCCAATCTTTCCTCCCCACCCTTGTCAAAGCCTGCCAGTGGGACTTCTGTCACTGCACTCAGGGATCCTGCCCAAATCTCCAACAGAGGTTTCTCTCCTAGAGGCACAGAGAGGCTCCTGCCTCCCCTGCCTGCCCACCCCAGCAGCCAGCCCATGATGAGCAGAGCAGGCAGCACGTCCAGAGAAACCACTGCTGGCAAGGGGAATGCTGGTACATCCCACTGGCACTCCCCGCTATCAGCAATGCTGAGCTCCTCTCTTTGAAGCCACTAGCTGAGAGCAGGACCTGGAGACAGACAGGGAGAGCCCAGGGCTGGCAGGTGGGTGGTGCTGGCCTGCAGGCAGCTCAGAGAGGTGCAGGATGGTGCTGCTGGCAGTGCTGGCATGGACACACGTGCAGCCCTGTCTTCCCAGTGCAACTGACCACTGCAGCAGCCTCACAGTCATGGGGCAAGAAGGCAACCCCAGGTAAGAGAAAAGAGAGTGAGGAGAAGAAGGGGGGGCCTTTCAGGAGGCAGAGCCACCTGAGCTGTGCTCTCCCTCCTGAGGTCAATGCTGCAGTTACAAGAGCCTGCTCAGACCCCTCTGTCCTTGCTTGGTTGCAGCACGGCTCTCCCATGCTGGAATACTGTACCACTACCCCGGCAGCCAAAGGCTTCCTCTCTCACTGCTGCCTTCTGCGTTGCAGGCTTTCCCTGGCAGCAGCAGCTCTGACTGTGAGGATGTAAAGGAGCAGCTCAGCCAAAGGAGGAGCATGGGGAGGGTCTGGACAGGGCCCTTGGAGTGGTACATGCCAAGCCTGGGGTGTCTGTGGGATGTGAATGCTGAGAAACAGCACCTTGTTTAGGAGGCAGATGCACAAACAGAGCACAGGGAATAAAGCACCCAGCTCATTCATTTGCCAGCTGGGGAAGGGGCACCACAGTGACAGGTCTTTGCTTTTCTGTCTCAAAAAAGCAAATTCCACCTCATAGTCAGCCCCCAGCCCTTCATGTTCTGCCCTGCCTGTGCCGCAGGAGAAGGGAGACGCTGGCTGTCACCCTGCAGAGGTGTAGGCAAGCCCCACTGCGGTTACCCACCCAGGGCAGGGAGCACGATGCAGCCCAGGCTTGGTTCCAGGAACTGTGTTAGCAGGGCTCTAGTCCATGCACTAGTCTCCTCCTAGGACTACGCAGTATTTAGATACTGCAGCGCTTTTACAGGGTCACACTAACCCCTGCTGTAAACTGTTTACAACCCAGCTCTGCCCTAGGCTTTTGAGGTAAAACACATACACCTCGGCTGCACCGGTGGGGTTTCCGAAAGCTGATCAAGTGCCAGTGACGGGATACAACCACAGCAGAGACAGAGGAGGAGCCAGATGCAGAGTCTAATCCCAGTAGGAACTGCAGCATCCCTGCTCCTCTCCCAGGCTGCAAAGGGCTCACAGGAGCAAACAATCAGCTCCACAGATTCCTCCGCAGAAGCAGCTGAATAAGATTGTCTTCCTGAGCTCTTAACCAGCCTTGGGTAAGTCCAGCATAGCAAACAAGCAGATGAAAAAGCTGGGGAAAGAGAAATCTGTCTCAGAACAGTGTCACTAGGAGGAGAGCAGGCACTGATATAAATGCCATCGTCATCTGCCCGCTGCAGTCTGATGGAATGAGGCAAAAGCCTTGCCCTACTTCATGTAAACAGGGTTTCCCTCCATCACCCAGAGCCTCCCTCTGCTCAGGCTCCAGCACTGGAGAGTGGTAAGCAAATCTGCTATTGCAGGTGCGCTGGAACACCTCTGCAGTGCCAGGGGGCAAGGCTGGCCATAGCTCAGCCGAACCTGTTGTGGGATCCCAAGCAGCTCCTTCCCTGTGCTTCACTCCACCTCGTGGAACGCATGGGGCAACCCTTAGTGGGCACTGAGACACACCTCGGGAAAGGCAGGGGGTGGGCTGCTGCCTGGGCCTCCCCGCCCTCCTGCGTGGCACTGGCTCTGACACTGCCCCGAAGTGAACAGAGATGGAGCCCCACACCTGCAGCTGCTGCTCTGGATGCGTGGGGAGGGATGGAGGGGATGAATCACAACCAGCCCTGAAGCAAAAGGAGACACCCACAATGCACAGGCAGTACAAGAGGGGACCCCCAACACTGCTTGCACTAAACTCCTTTGAGGTCTAGGGGATCCTCTTTTAAAAAAACAGCCTCAAGGAGACAAACATGCTCAGCACCTCAGTGGCCAAGCACATGGGTCAAAATCCTTTAATCACCCCTGCAACCTTGACCCTGCAACTCTGAATACTAAACCTCTTCAAGTTCTTCAAGCTACTCCCAGTTACAGCCTGGCCCCATCCACTGTCCCCCTTTTTAACAAGTGTTTCCATGTCATTCCCTCCCATGACTCTCACCTGCCTCTCCCTGCAGAGACCTCTGTGAAATCTCTGATTCACCTCCAGAATGCTAAACTTTCATGTTTCATATTTTGAGACAGCCTGGGGTTCAGAGGGTCAGGTGTCCTAGAGACAGCCCTCTAGAGGGCTGAAAAAAAAATCCAAAAAAAGCGCCAGAGCAGCAGCCTGAAGGCCCAGGTAGCTCCCGAGTGCCAGGTGGTGGCAGCAGCTTGCAGGGGACTCCAGAGGGACTCCTGAGCATCAGTTTCCATGGCTCTTCCCCAGGATTCACTTACATCATGCAAGAAATTAATAAGCCCTGATTCCTTTGACCTCAAATCCCCAGAAAAAGGGAGGTAGGGAGGATCCAGTCATTTCTAGGAATTACCATTGTTTTCAAAGGCTCTGGACAAACATGGGCAACTCCTGGCCAGGATGGTCCCAGCAAATACCCACATCACACACCCCATGCCCACAGCCCAGGTTCAGGAACCACCTGCCTACAAGAAAGAGGTGGCTCAGTCCCAGGCTGGCAGTGCTGCCAACTGCAGAGGACAGAGGAAGGCTGAGCATCGACAGGCCAGGGAATCCTGCCAGCAGTCAGCTCCTGCAGCGGCACCAAGGTCTCCATTTTACACAGGAGCTTGGAGGAGGACTGGTTCCTTCCATCAGATCCCACCTGAGCAGCAGGACAAGGACATGGTTTTGCTTGTTCCTAGGCTGAAGAGCTTGTCCCTTGGCATCTCCCACCCTCCAAGTATGCACTGATGAGTGAAATTCAGCTCACCACCACTAAGTGTGGGTGTAGGCATGTGATACCAAGATGGAACAAGGGCTCAGTCAGCTCTGGCTAGTACCTCTTGCTACTTGCCTGGGACAAGATGAGAAGACCTGAAGCCCTCCCTGGCTCCTAGATGCAGCAACCTGAGATATCAAGATGAGACACCTTCAAATAGGACAGGGCAAGTTTCCCATTTTCCAGACATCTCCTCTGGCTTCCTACTCACCCTGGCCAATGGACCCTGACATGTGGGATGGAGCCACACTGCGGGGACGCTCGGCAGTGCTGGCACCAGCAGTTGGTTCTGACGGAAATGAGGACATTGCACAGCCCGTATGGCATTACATAGGCACTAGAGGAGAGGAGGAACATTGTCCTCTCCCTCTCCTGATAGCTCTGAAGACAAGAGGATTTCACTAGGTCAGTCCAGAAATCTAAGCTCGCCACTGAAGTCTCTCCTCTTTGCATCAGATGAGACACCAGCAAGCATGGCACCATCACGAGAGGCTGCAGCTTCCCTCTCCTCCACCAGCTGCTTCATGCAAGTCTGTGATAGCTTCTGGCCACAAGAAGGATGCCCTTAGCCTAAACAGAGGAGGTCATGGACTACAGCCTTTCTGCCTGCTCCTGTGGAGTATGACACTGACACCCTCATTGGCAGCCACCACAGAGTAACTGAAGCTCGGACAATCTCATAATACCTGCGAGCCAGGGGGCACTGTAGGGGAGGGAAACTCGTCTGGGCACTGCCCCTGCTACACTTCTCTCACCCAAACTGGCTCTTGCTCTGGCACCTCTGAAAAGTCTGTGCCGTCTTGAAAGTAGGACCAGCACTGCCAGGACACCGGCAGTAAGAAACCACATCACAGCAGGGCACAAGCATGTCCTCATGCTAAAAAAGCCCCTCACAGTTTGGCTACCCTCATCAGGATCTGTTTGAAGAGCTGGGCTCAGATCATCAGGAGTTGTTGCATGCAGGCAGGAAGAGAGGAACAGACACAGAGTATACAGTATTTGTACAGCTTCCCAGTCCTTGAACTTCAGCATTCCTCTCCTGCAATTATTTATATCTAAATATAAGTCTGTATATATAGAATAACCGTGCATGGGCATGCATGTTCTGCCCAAGCCAAGGAGGCAGAGAATACCAGGATTATGCAGCACTCGCAAACTGCAGCTCCTCATCAGCAGAAGGGGAAGTGATGCACCAGCTTCTGAGTATCCCCCCAAGCTGCCCTTTGAGCTGTGGTCTCACCAGACAGGGCAGCCCACCCCCTGCAGGAGAACACTGCCCTTCCTGCACTGCCTGGGTGCCCTCCATGGGTCAGCAGCCCCATGGCATACAGCGAGCCTCACCAGTCAGTGCAGTTGCCTTCTCCCTTCTTGGGAAGCCCAAGCTGCAAGCAGGATCTGTAGAGGCAGACAAAAGGGCTGGCACACCTGCCTCCCGGTGGCGCTCCCAAGGCACGGGGCACCCTGCTCTCGACCCTTTCTGGCATCTGCTGCCTGGACTCCGGAAAAGTCATCTGCTGAGGGAGACTGCAGCACACCTGGAGGCAAGGCTGTGCTGGTACCTGGCCTGCCCCAGTCTGCACCTTGCTGGGAGCAGCCACCAGCAACAGCCCTTGGCTTTGCCATGTCCCCAAGCCCTCTACCCTGCTGCCCACCGCGTCTTGCCTCACAGTGACCCGGGCAGCTGTGCCCCATCCTGGATGCCCCCAGAAGCCAGCGCACAGCAAGGAGGGGGTCTCCACGTCTCCCAGGCATAACAAGCTCTGCCCGCGGCTGTAAGCACAAACGGTGCCCTGCGCTTCTCGTTTCTGATTTTTCCCTTCCTCCTCCATCCCGGCCACTCCAGCTCCGGCCCCCGCTCCGGACGGCGCTGGCTGCTGCGTCCCTTCCATGCCCGGAGGCTCCGCAGCGATCCCCAGGTGACGGGCGGGCGATGGGGGAGAGGCGCGCTGGGGCAGCCCATCGGCGGCGCGACCGACGGCTGGGCATGCTCGCCCCCAACCCGCATCGCATCCCCGGGGCCGGAGCGGGGCGAGAGGCGCTCCCAGCGAGCGGCTCCGCACCTGTGCGGGCAAAGCCCGGCCCGTGAACGCGCCACGCAAGGGTGGTAGGGGGCAGCCCGGGCCGGGGGGCGGCCGCTCTGCTCACCTCCTCTCTGGCCCCCTCCGCCTCCTCCTCCGGAGGCACCGGCGTGCTGCTGCCTCCCTCGCTGGCGGCGGCCGCCGAGGCCGGGGGGGACATGGCGGCGGGGGCGCCCCGCTGGCGGTGCCTGCGGGCCGGGCAGCTGCATTAGGAGGGCCGCGGCGGAGGCGGGGGGACGGGATGGGATGGGATGGGACGGGATGGGATGGGATGGGATGGGATGGGGATGGGGATGGGGATGGGGATGGGGGCACGGCGGGATCCGCGGCCGCCCAAGCGGGGCGGCGGGTGACCTTGAGGCGCCGGCCGGCAGCAGAGAGGGAGGGAGCCCGGTGCAGAAGCCCCTCCCGAGCCCCACCGGGAGCGGAGCTGCCGCCCGGCGTTGTCGGGGAAAGCTCCTGCTCTCAGCCGCGCTGATGGGTCGTCAGGCCGCCTTCGGTCCCAGCTGCACAGCTGACAGAGAGGTGAGGGGTCCCGTGGGTTTTCCTTCCCGCGGGATGAAGCGGGAGAACCGGGAGCACTTTGCATGTGCCCCGTCTGCTTTTCTAATCTGTGGGCACCGCAGCTGGTCGGGGAAATGGGGCAGTGTTGACCTGCAGTGCTGATGCTGGCACACATGGAAAACCTTAGCTTGGGCAGGAGCTTCCCTGCTGTGATCTGCACCGGGCCCAAAGGTTCTCAGCTGGCTATTGCATGGCCACCTGCAGCTTATTTCTCCACAGAGCTAACATGGTTACAGGGATGAGTGGAAAAGTTTCTTCAGACCCTCAACCTAAACTCACGGTGGGGACACACACGGAGTTTGGGAAGGGTCCGTACTTGTCAAGGTCTGGATATTGCAGGTGCAGCCCAGTTTCCTTGACAGTCAGGAAATCAGGTGTCTTTGCAGGTGCTTCCCCAGATCCAAACTGGGGAGAAGCATAAGCTGCAGAATTTGCTGGAAACTTGTTCTCTTTTTCTGAGCTCTGAGGCTCAGCCTTGGCAATGGGATGATTGACATACCCTTGTCCACTGTTGCCTGGGATGAGGAAGGAACAGTGTGTAGGCCTGATTGTCTCACTCAAGGAGATGCATCCAAGGGGAATTGCCAACCTCTGCTTCTTATGGGAATAGATGTGATGGCCGGGGGTGCTGCTGAAGGAGCTCATCTTCAAGAGAGGCTGGGGATGTGTTTCCTCTCGCCTTTCCCCTGTTTCCATGGGAACAGCAGCAAGCAGGAGCAGCCTGCTTGGAATTTCACTGCCTACCGCTCAGACACCCCCTGCCCAATCATCCCAGCAGACTCTGGCTCTTGAGGGTTTCAGACCCACACTCACGTGATGGATCCCATGCCTCCAAGGAGAGCTCACCCATGGATGTGTCATGGCAGAGCAAGGCAAAGAGGCACAAGCCCAGAGCTGCCACAATTCCTGTAGCAGCACGTTATTTCATGCACACTAATAGATGGTTGAAAATAATTTGCATTCCTGTATGCATTTCTGCTTTTTATAGGATGTGACCTCAGCTAGTCCAAAAAGTGCCTGAGGGATGATCGCCTTCCAGGAACAGCACTGGTTTTATCTCAAATATGTGAAAATCACACAAAAAGAGCAAAGCAGAAGGGTGAAGAGGTGGGAAAGGTGGTACAAGTTTATGTCTTTGTATTTAATACACCATGGTGTCTTTTTCTCCAGGGAGTTTGTCCACTTACTTTTGAATGTGTTTTGATTTTGGACCTGTAGATGCTTCATGCATTCTGTGGCAAGGAGTTTCACAGCACACCCACAAACTCAAGGAGCTTCCTTTGATGTGCCCATCCTGGGCTTTTTATCCACTAGGACTAACCCTTGGGAAGCAGGCTGCTGCCACCCTTATGGAGCTGCCCACAATGCAATTTATCCTCCACTGGTGGAGTCCGTGGCTACTGGTGAGCCAGAGGTAGAGTTTTTTGTGTCAGGCATCTTTGATACTTGTTCTGGCAGCATATTTTGGAGACAACACTGTCAAGAACATCACCAGCTGTGCTATTTTTGAGATGAGGTGGCACAAAAGAGGTTGTGTGCCCTGCTTTGTCTGAACTGAAGTTGTATGAGTTCTCAGCCAGTTTCTGAGGAAAACAGGCACATGGCAGATTTTGACCCTCGGGCAGGTACCCAAAGGCATGGCTGACAATGTGTAACAAAGGGCACAGGACTCCCAGAAATGGGAGAAATAAGAGTATATATGATGCTTAGGCCTTTCAGAAACTGAAGCAGGATGAACAGCATCCAGGATTGTGTTCTGTGTCATGATCAGAGGGAGGACCCAGAAGTTGTAATTACAACACACCACCTGATCCACTCAACCCTTCTTTTCTTGGGGGCAAGAGACAAAAATTTGTGAGATTTCCCTCCAGTTATTCCTGTAGGTTTCAGGATGCTCTACTGGAAAATGGAGAGTGGGATATTTCTGGGATGGAGGCCTTTCTGATGTGACAAAATGGTTGAAAGAAGCAGGGAGGCTTTTAAGAAGACACAGCAACTGAAGTAGAGGTGGTGCCCTTACCAATAGGTTTGTTCTCCAGAAACCCTGTATCTGCCACCCTGCAGAGACATTCATATCTGTTCAAGGCAAGCATAAAGCATGACATCATGTTAGCAGGATTCGTTCACTTTCCATAATGCATCAAACCGCAAAAGGTCTCACTCTTCTGTCTCTGGTAGTTACAGAAAATAGCCTTTTAGTTCCTGCTTAAATATGTTATTAGCTCTTACCCATGCAGCAAATTTGCATTCAATTTCTAGAAAAAATTTTGATGCAGGCTGCATTTTAAACCAGATGGCCATAGATAACCTATCCTTGTGCTGGTATTTGTAGCCTAAATATAAAAATGGATTTTACAACATCATATAGATATACATATAATTGTGTTTAGCTTTATTTTTTCCAATAGACCAAGTGTGATCAAGACTCAGTCTTTTGTTCCATAGCAATCAATGATTCCTAGCGGTGTGCTGTTTTTTGTCTCCTAAGAAGATGCATGGCAGAGAATCCCCTCGTGTTAGGATGCAGGATTTTCTATGCTCAGAAATTAATGCCTATTCAATTTAGAAATTTCAAGGATACTTTGTGCTGGCTGCCTGAGCCTTGCAGAATGTGTCACTCCAATTAAATTACTCCTCATTAATGCAACAAGGGGAATGTGGGTGCAGGAATGTGCCTCTTGCTCCAGTTAAACAACATCCCTTTGCCACTGCTGGTCATTGGTGCCAACTACCTCTGCAAGCTTTGTCCTCAAGGAAATATGTGCCATTAGTTGTGTTTTCATCTGCTGCACTCAGATGAGAGACTGAGATCTGTCTGCTGGGAGGAGATTCAGGTGTGCTTATTTTATTGTGGGAAGGAAACTCCCAGGGGTCATTAATTGGTGACTGGGGAGCTCATTTCTGTTTAGCATTGCTAGCAGGGGTACACATCATGACTGCAGTCCCCAAACACTCAGAATCTTAAACCTCACAAAGTAGGTGGGTTTGTAGCTGCCGCTCTGGGGCACATTTCACTGAATAGAATTGCTGTCATTGAAAAGTCTTTGATCCCTGCTCTGATCCTTTCTTTTCCAACAGGCTGCCTGTATACAGTTTGTTTGTTTTCCATCCAGCCTCATGAGAGTCTATTTTGTCATCATCACAGCTTTTGTGAGGCTCCAGGGAGGTTTCTGGGTCAGGTTAAATCACTTTCCTCTCTGCAGTAGCCCAGCAGGACACCCAGGGCCCTCCCTCACATCCCCCCTAGGAATGAAAAGCGGATTCAGCACTGCCCAGATGCTGTTTGACAGTCCTCAGGACATTTTGTCCAATATAACTCCAGAGCAGCAGCAACCGCCCCAAGTGTCTGGAAACTAAGCCAAATCTTCCCTTGCCAAATGCTTTGTTCTCACTTACATTTTTGGCCCATCACCCCCAGAAACTAATGGCTCAGGGAATTTAGTCTATCTCTAGTTATGGTGCCAGGAGTCACCTCCCTAAAAGCAGAAAATAGGTTTCTGTTGGAGTTTGCCTTCCCCATGCTGAAGGGTTGGAGTTGATACACCCTGACCTGCAGAAGCATCCCTGTCCCACCAAGCTCTCCCCACGGACCTGGCTGGCAGGGAAGTCGCTCTTCTAGGGAAGGGGCAAAAACCCACCGCATGCTTAGGGGTCATTGTATAGGCCAGGTCTGTCAGTCTGGCCAAGGTCCTGGGGTATGGCTGCAATCCTACTTTGTGTGTGTCCCACCACCTGGGCAACACAGACTTGGTCATCACTTTTCCGTGGTGTCAGAACTGCTCTGTCCCATGGGATGGCCACTTGCTCCTGCTCAGCACCTGAATATTTCAAACAGCTCACTCACCCCCACCTCCTCTCCCTGCCACCCTGCTCACCCCTCTCTCCCAGCTCCTGCTTGGGCTCCTCACTTGTTTTCAGCAGTGTGGCTCCACCAGGCCTGTTCCCAACTCACTCTGATGCAAGTGAGAGAGACACAAGCCCTAATTCAGTCTGGCAGCTGGGAGGTTTAACTCTCCTGAGAGCAGAGCAGAGCTTGCATGAGTGATACCCAGCCTCTCGGAGCACTGCTAGGAGACAAAGACCGGGCTGGTGGGGGTGCAAGGCTGCAGTGAGGGGCTGAGGTGAGCAGAGAGCAACTCAAGCAGAACCAACTCAAAAAATGAAAGTTAACCCATCCTCCCTTCTACCAGCCATCAGGTCCAGTGCGGCAATGCTGAAGCCCAGGAGCAGCATTGGCAGCATCTTCCTGTGCTCTCTGGCAAGGTGAGCTGAGGGATGCTTGGGTGGGTTGAGGTTTTTGTTTTGTCTTGGGTAGTCTCTGCCAGATGAACTGTACTTAGAGAGTCATGAATAAATGATAGCCCGGCAATGGAGCACTGTCTTCCACAGCTATTCCATGGGGAGGGAGGAGCATTCTTCATTAGAGTGATGTGGCCAGACAGAGGTTATCAGAGGCACCCTCTGAACTGAGTCTGTCTCATCACTAGCTATAAAGACAGCCCCAGGTGACAAGATTTCTCACCTATTTCACCATCTATTTAAGCATGGTTTTATTATCAGTTCTCCAAGACCATCTGCCACTCCCTCCCCATTCATAACCACATCTGCCATCTCCTTTGGGAGAGCTCTGAGCACACGCACACATAAATACATAGCAAGGCCTATCAGCCATGCATTTGCCCAGATGCAAGCAGAGAGCATTGCTGCCGCAGCCACCAGGCTGACAGGAATTACACAAGAGGGATATAATTTAGAATGAAGTTTTGTTAAAATATCTAGGGGTTTTGTTCATTCACATTGTAAGGTCGAGGATTTTTAGTGCACCTTTATATCAATCACTTTCTGTTTGTGGAAGTGAATGCCATGGCTGAGAGTGGAGTGAGTTAGGTGTGATCCCCATTCAAGGGATTAACTAATCCTCTTGTCCAACTTCCTACACATCACACACACAGTGAATGACAGAAGGAGGTAGAAACTTCCCTGTTCACTGGGACTCTGAGCAACAGTGGGAATCTTCTCAGGAAGGGCGTTAGCTGGGCAACTTGCCCACCACTTACTACATGTGGACAAACCTGATCTGCTCCAGGTTGTGTCACCACAATGGCACGATGGCTCCCATACATTCCAGGAGTGCACAATGGAAAAGTATGAGAGGCATCCAACACAGACTGCAAGGAGAAAAATTCTGGCTGGAAATAATCCCATATTAAAAAAGCAAATGCCCAGAACAGCATCCCTGGAGCGGTTCAAAGTGACCCTGTGACTTCAGCCAGACTCACCAGGAGAGGGCAGCCAGTGCTTTCTGGGCTGACTACCCCAGAAAATAGGTACCCATGGAGGACCTGCTTTGCACTGCTCTGTTGGAAACCTGGGCTCTGCTTCTGGGCATAGAATCTTGAAAAGTCATGTTCCTCCTTTCCTTTATTGGGGCAGAAAATGAAGCGACCCAGTTTGGTGCGCTACAGAACTGATTTGCTGTCAGATATGTGAAACCACAGTCAGAGCAGAAACTCTGTTGTCTTTCCTGCAACTTTCATCACTCTTCCTGGGCTTCTGCTTCCCTTGAATGCCCAGTGCACAGGCTGAACTCCCTGAGCTGGAGCTCCAGACAGAGGTCCAGGTTGTTGCTTGGGGTGCCCAGCAACATCTCTGGTGGAGAGAATGCAGAAGGAGCTTCCTCAAATGGGGATCTAGCACCTTCCTTATGGACTCAGCATTTCTGATTCTGGGGATGGGGGAAAAGGGCTACTGCATCCCCAGGGAATGGGGCAGCTCAGTGCTCATGGGGGCTGAAAGCTGTGCAGTGGACAGCCCGTAGGGAGGGAAGGTGGCACCAGTCACGTTGCCTGGTGTGAATTATTGTGGCAGTAACTGCTTATCACAAGTTCAGGTAACCCATGTTGCTTACAAATGACAGTAAAACAGCTGGTAATTAAAGGACCATTATATTTTCTCAGACCAGACACAGACTGGGTATAATTGGCCTTTCTCCATCTCTCTCAGCTGCATTTCACTTATTTTACCCAGTTAACAGCTCAAAAAAACAGAGACAATGCCGGTGCCAGGCCAGGCCTTCATTTAATTTAGTCAGGCAGAGAGCTGTGCCTGGGGACAGGACATTATCGGGGACGCTCATGGGGGCTGAAAGCTGTGCAGTGGACAGCCCGTAGGGAGGGAAGGTGGCACCAGTCACGTTGCCTGGTGTGAATTATTGTGGCAGTAACTGCTTATCACAAGTTCAGGTAACCCATGTTGCTTACAAATGACAGTAAAACAGCTGGTAATTAAAGGACCATTATATTTTCTCAGACCAGACACAGACTGGGTATAATTGGCCTTTCTCCATCTCTCTCAGCTGCATTTCACTTATTTTACCCAGTTAACAGCTCAAAAACCAGAGGCGATGCCGGTGCCAGGCCAGGCCTTCATTTAATTTAGTCAGGCAGAGAGCTGTGCCTGGGGACAGGACATTATCGGGGACAATACCCAGGGGTCTGGGTAGCCTAGGGATTCCTTCCCATGTCCATGCTCTGACCTGATGCTCCTCGCAGCACAGTGTGGTGGGAAAGCGCTGCTGCCTTGAACAGCGTGTGCTGGCACTGACCTCTAGTGGGAATAGATTCCTTCCTCTTTAGATTTTCCCTGCAGTTTTAACCATTTTAAGTGGCACATATTAAAAGGGACTGGAGAGACCCAAGAATCAGAGCTTTGTTTTTTAAAACCTTCAAAACTAAATCAGAACATCAAGATTTGCCTCGTATTATATTTAATTATTTTAATCCCTCTACCATTGCCTTCAATACATTATATATAGATATTTATGATATGTGTATCTCTCTGTATTTAAAGCCTCTGAAAATAATGGAAGTCCAAAACTTGCACAGCCAGGCAGAAAGCTCTTTGTTAGGAAGACAGCATGAAAGGGAGCCCAACCCTCGCAGACTGAGTAACAGAAGGCAAATAATGGGGCAAAGTGGCCAAGTTCCTCTTTCAGACTTTCCAGTAAAATTGTCTGAAAGGTTAACAGAAGCACACCCAGTCAGAAGAGGGGTGGCAGGAGATGGTGCCTGAGCTGGGTGTTAGTGGGTGCAGCTGAGGTCAGAGCAGAGAGTGGCTGGCCATGGATGCCTGGGGGGGCACTGCTGATGTCAATGGGGCGTGCTGGGTCTCCCCACTCCGCTGCAGCAGACCAGGGCAACACAGCCCTGCCACAGCACTAGCCAGCTAAAAGAGTTCCAGGCTCACCTTAAGGAAGCTGCAAAATCACAAACTCCAAATAAATCCCTGTCAGCAGCAGAGGAAGGCCACTTCCAGGGGCTACCTGCTAGCCAGAGGTGTAGACAGCTTGCAGTGGACTGGAGTGTACAGTCACTAGTGGTGGGTCTTGAACTGCCTTTTTGCTAGAACTGGTCCAGGGCTTACTGCTCCAGGTTCTGTGCTCTGGCTGAACTGTTCCTGGATGTGTGCTAGTCCTGGAATTAGGATCCACTCCTATTTCCCAACGGGAACAGCACATCACAATATAATCAAGGTGTGACTGATGCTTGATGCAAAGATAAGCTGCAACTAGTTCACAGAAAAATTAAATCTTTGTGTATCACCACACAAGTTTGAGTTGATTTGACCACTTTATCCACAGGAGAGTGTACAAGGAACCATTCCACAATGGAGCTACATCTAGTATGTTACTAGAGAAAATTGCAAAGGCATTTAGGAAGGCAATTGGTGGATAACCTAGTAGTAGTTGGGTATGGAAAGCTGAAAGAATAGAAATTCTGTGTGCAGATCAGGAACAACAGGTACAGGTGGAGCTGGGATGCAGACACCACCAGGGTGTGAGAGGGAGTGACAGGGATATATGGCCCGATCCCCATACTGCACTGGATAGAGCCGACAGACGTGGGAGAAGCTCCTTTCCCTCAGTAATTGTAATCTTGCAGTGACACAGTGCCAGAGACACAACTGGAGACACTGAAACAGATCCTGAGCATAGGAAGAAAACTTGTGACTGGAAGTCATTGACGTCAAAAGAGACTTATCTGTCTCCCTGCTGCTACCCTCACACCCCAAAACCTTTCTTCCTACAAACCCAAAGCAACAGCTGCAGTGTGGGATAGAGAAATATTTGTCACTCTGCATGTGGTTCCTGTGAGTCCATCCAGTATCCATCACCAAGCTCTTCCCAGGTAAGCTGCCTTGCAGGAGATTGTTCCCCTCCTGCTCAGATGAACTGGAAGAATGTGCATCCTTCAGAGACAGAAAGTCATATCAAGCAATAAAAGCAAAAAGTGAAACTGATTTTAAAGTGTCAGCTCTGTTCAGAGCTATCTTTGTCTTCTGAGGAAAGCCCACTACTTGGGACACTGGAAAATAACTACATGACATCTATGCAGATCCATAGGAGTTTTGGCATTGGGAAGAGAGCACTGAAATGTGCTCTGGGCAATCACTCACAGGCAGTGAGCTGGGCCTTCATTCGACCTTCTACTTTCAGCCTTGATCTCTGTCTTAGCTGCTCTTTTGTGAGCCCTGCTAGCCACTCTGGGCTTTGAAGGGATTTCTATTTGCAACACAGATGGGCGGTGAGAAGCAGCTGGACCAAGGGGCTGGTGCAGCCAGCTACAGTGACCTCCTGGCCTTCCCTGAAAGGCAGCACAGCCGGGCAGGTGTCTCGGTGGGTGGAACAGTTTAATGTCTGCACACGGGGAAAGCAAACGCCTTGTTTGCGCCTCTGCTGCCAGTGACATCCACCATGTTGTTTCCCACGGCGCCTGTGGCTTCACGCCGCACCTGCACAGGCAGCAGCATCCTCACCCACAGCTTGGACACGGTCCCGCTCCCGCCCCGGGCGGACCTGCCTGCTGTTTAAAGAACCCAAACCGACGGGCAGGGGGGACGCAGGCCCGGCACAGCGCGGCGAGCGCTGCCCGGCCTAGGGAGGCGCAGCGCTGCCGCCTCCCCGCCCTCGCCCCCGCCGTGTTTCCTCCCCTCAGAGCCCGTGCACCCCGCCGGCCGGAGCGGCGGGAGGAGCAGCCCCTCAGTGCCGGGGCGGGGCGGCGCGGGGGAATCCCGGCCGGGCGGTGACTCAGTGGGGCCGCGGCGGAGGCGGGGCCGCGGCGCCTCACACCCGCGCCCG